TTGATGAAGAGCTGTCAGGTTGGTAGCTGTAGGGTTGCTAGCGAAGCCCTGCTGGGATTGCACTTAGTGAGACACTTAGACACTGAGGAGGGAAAAAGAGGAGTCTAAGATACAGAGCGCATTAAGCGCTGGCTTCACTTTTTGTTGAGTTTGATACTCTATAGGCACTGAAGGTGTTGAGGTGACTGTTGGCACAGAATAACTAAGGCCGGAGGATAACACTGCGATTCTTCTACATGGGGATGCTACAGTTGAACACAGTTAAGGCCATCAAAGGCTCACATTTATAGGTAGTAAAGATGGGTGCGAGACTCCTTCAGGGAGAATGGCTACTTTAAATAGCAGAAGGATGAAATAAATGCAGAAATAATAAAGAGTTCCTAAGACCCAGGCAACCAGCTAGAGTAGTAGTTATCACAGAAGCCAAGGCAAGGTAGAAGAAGAGGGCCGGACATAGTAAGCTCCTGTGTGTTACTCAACAGTGGAGGATATAGCTGCTTTAAGATTTGGTGGTCAAAGACTCTTTGTATGAAAAATAAAAATGATGTCATTGTGATCTTGAGGTTACTATTTTAATAGTGAAAGTGAATTGTGAAAGGAGTGAAAAAAATAAAGCAAAAAATATAGACTACCCAGGAAATGTTTCATTAGTTAACCATGAGAACGACTGTGAAAGTTCCGACACTACAGAGCAGCCGCTGCTGTGTGGCCTTCAGATGAGGCTCTCTGCAGTCGGTAAACACGCCAGTGAGGTGAAAGGCGCTCTCAGCAGCAGACGTGGCAGGGGTGGGCACACTATATTAGTGACAAAAGGAAGACCACAGTGTTACAGGGTGCTGAGTGTGCTTCTGTGTGTCCTTCCCTTTCTCTAATTCCCGTTGCACCAGGTTTCCTTCCCAGGGAACCTTTAGACCACCAGGTTATTTATTAAAGAATGTATCTTCTTTTACTAGTTTGAATTCTGATTATTTGTTGAGCTGTTTAGAATAGATGAACCATCATCTAAAAGTCACTCAGTGCCAGGCCACTTCATTAACTGGACACAGACTCATGAGGATGAGAGAATCCAGGCAGTCCACCTTCCTGTTGTGAAATCCCGAGCAGGCACTCTCTGTGACTCAGTTATGTGCTCTGTAGGGGAGAGATAATACAAGCACCCACTTTGGAAGGTTGTTGTTGGAGTTAAATGAAATAATTCATGCAGATCCCTAGGACTGTATTTGCTCACAGTATGTAACGAACCAGTTGGTTTTCTTCTGCAAATTTTCTGTGTTCCTTGCTGCTGCTGCTGCTGCTAATGTTGCAAAAACAAGTATTGCTGTTGCTGATCTGTTGCTGCCACTGTTACTACTTTCTGGCTGTGTTTAGAGGGGCTGCTCTACATGATTCTTGGATTAAAGGCATCTCTTATTTAACTCAGGAGTTTTGCTTTTAAATGGCAATTAATGCCATTATTTTATCTTCCCACCTGTAGATCCATATTTGTCTTGTTTCAGTTTCTCTAGACTTGTCCTGATTCTACCTTGTCTTTCAGCATTTATCTATCTTCTGCTGTAACAAAGTTCTGCCGATTTTATAACTGACTTAAATCTTGAGCTTAATGACTTATAGTGGCTATGTTCACCTTCCTCTGTATTTCTGTATTGGTCTTATGAAACTGATTGATTAAGAAAGATCTTGCTGTGTAGCCCTGGTTGGTTTGGAATTCACTGTGTATACAATGCTGGTCTTGAGCTTGCTGAGGTCCTCCTTCTGGGTGCTGGGATTATAGTTTTGCACTTTCATGGCTGGTTCAACTTTATTTTAAAAGTTCAATTTAACAGCTCAATGAGATGATATTTTACCCATCATATTTTAGCTATTTCATATGACTGTATTAAATATATTATTTTATTCACGAATTAAACATACTTTGTAGCTTTTCCTTTCTGTTATTTGAGGCACATGTGTTGTTTTGTGTTCTGATTTGTGGTTGCTCAGATGTAACGGTCAAAATTAGACAAGCTGAGGAATGAGGCATCAGGATGAAGACAGGGAGAGAGGATGAGCCAGTCATCATCATCATTTGTTCTCTTGCTAGTTCTTTCCAGATCCACACCCACTCTTTGCTGTGGTTCTTATTATTTTTTTATTGTGCAGTTATCTTTTCTGGAAATTGTGAGCAGAGAAAAACTGTCTTTTTTAGTTCTCCAGTCCTTCCTTCCTTCCTTCCTTCCTTCCTTCCTTCCTTCCTTCCTTCC